TACAATTTAGGTGTAATTTATTTTAGGTTTTAAGAATAGTAAAAAAAATATGAATTTATCATATAAATCGGTAATATACACATACTGAATGAATTTAGGGCGATTCTATATTTAAAAAAATGTATATTATACCACTAAATTTATGTAAAAAGTGTCCAGTTTTTAATAAAAATAGTTTACATTTTATTTGTTCATTCGAATTAAAACGGAATATTCTTAAGTATTATACTAAACGATAAAAACTGGCACTGCTGATTGTATATTAAACGTATTATGACGGCGATGGTAATGGCCAATAGGCATGTGAGTTTTAACTACAATTTAAATTGAGCTATAATTATTTAATTATTAGCTAGTAGCTTATAAATTTAAACCATACAAATATATTAAATACTATGAACGATTGTTTTAATATAATTTATAAATTGATAATAACATTTTAGAATTACTGGAAGTTTTGTAAGGCTTTGTGTCGTATAGAAATACACGAAAATAATCCCTTAGACGGTGTACTTAACCCAAGACAGTTTCACAGTACTACAGGTATACAATGTCCCGGTAAGATATCAAATAAAATATACAAAGATAATTAATAACGTTGATTACCCAAGTGCCTTTGATTACCTAATAAAATATTTTTAACGGTTTTCAGGTAATTTAAGAGTAGTTCAATTCGCTGACTTTAAAAGAATAGTAAATGCAAGCGAAACCGGACCCAGCATGTATGCAAGTTACATAGCATCTTCAAGACCTATTCAATAGATAAAATTACTCAATATAACGTATTGTAAAATATAAATTTTAAAAAATATAGTTCTTTACTACATACATAATCCGTGTATCGTTATCTAATCCGGAGAAGTTAAACATCATTGTTGCCTATTTTGTACAACTTATACTTAATGCAAAACCATTTTTAATTTGAAAACTTATTTCCAAATGGTTGAAATTAACGGAAATAAGTAATATTTTGAAATAATTCAAAATAAATTGGTAACTAAAAAAATATACAAACAATTATGTATTTTATGTGTAATTTTTTTTTTTAGGTTTTAATTACTAAATACTAATTTGTGATTTAAATCGGTTTAAAAACTATTTAACATAATAAATAATAATGTACATTAGATACAAATAAATTTGATGTGTTTATTTAAAATGTATTTAGAGTCATTTTTTATTTCAAAATTATTATTATCTATTGAATCATATCCAATGAATTATTATGTAGTTACGAAAAATAGCCATAACATCTAGATAAGGAATAAACTATAAGTAATAATCTTTACGTTATTTAAATTTTTTATGTTATTAAAAAACAAATTTTCTTTATAAACCAGTTGACTGTTCAATTTAATCATAGCAACCTAAAAATATATTATGGTCAAAGTGTAATTTTCGTTTTTTTTTTTGGTTTTTCGTTTAAAAAATAGTATGACTATGGATTTTTGAGAAAATTTGTGTATATTATAAACCCACATTAGATATATCTTTCTAGTCTAGGGCTTAAGTCCTAAAAGATTGATGATAAAAGAGAAATAAAGAAAAAAAACAATTTCTAGGAAAAAGGTTTTTTTAAAATATTATTTTGGCTTTACAACGTATGTTGTATAGCGCGCCGTAATTTTAAGATGCAAAATATGTACAAGCTGTAGGTATTTTTTTAAATTTTAAGGGGTACGGTTGAGCTTTTTAAATGTTCGGTTTATTTAAGTACATAATGAATTACATTATTTCAAATCATATTTGATATTTCCCATATTATAGAGGGGTTATTTTAAGTTTGGTACTAAGCCTACCCAATCCCTATCCATAGTTTACTTATAATAAAGGTGGCCAAATTTATAGTATCTATAGCCTTAAAAAAATTAAATCCGCCTTAAATATTTTCCCTTATTATTAGATGTATCTTGGCCACTAACTTCTTGTTAAATTAGTGCAGTTTTTTTGGGTTCCAGACAGCTCTGAGATCACTAAAAACGAGTTGATGGACTTCTCATCCCTTTTTAGAACATTCTTCAGATACAAATCTTCTACGGATACAAATAGTTTACAAGTGAACCAAACGGTCCAATACATTATTTTTTTAGCCGGTCTAAGATTCGGTCATTCCGGATTTCTTTTTTCCTAATTATTATCATCGTACTGTACCTTAAAGGAAGCACCTACTATATGTGATTTTTCCCAATTCTCTTTTTCATTGTCCTACTCTGTATCCTAAAATTCTCAAACCCACCAAGTTCTGTTCCCTTAATATAGTAATGGCATTTCCATTCAAGCATATGTGCATAATTTTCTTGTATTGTATCGTAAGTTGGTGCAACTTAAAAAATTACGACGAGGCTAATATTAGTAATAGTTGTATTATATAGCAGAGATTTAAAACGTAAAAAAAAAAAAACGTGGGTAAAACTAGGAAGAATTGTTTTTGGTAAAATATGACTGTTCTCATAACGTTGTAACAGGTGTTGTTTGCAACGCGACAATCATTGTGAAAAATACTGTATGATAATATCATGTGTAAGAAAAAAATATCAAAACTATATGGTTGGTTTCTGTACAACAAGGGGATTTTCGTTAAAACTAAAAATACTAATTGTAGTCATAATATTATTATGTCTTGAGGGGTGAAATAACAAATAAAATCGTTCTAAAAGCTTCGACGATGGTGAAAATGCGAATGTACAAAACAGGTTATGTTCGCTATAACTTATGTAAATACACAGTACTACCGTGCGAGAAAATAGCTCAAGCATATAAAAAACACAAGCAACCAAACGCTTATATAAATAAATATACCTACTCGTTTGTGGACATTGTGCCGAAAAACACAGAAAAGTAATAAAAAAACCATGATACCCACATCGTTTTGAAAACAATAATATTATTATGTTACCAACTAAAACGAAAAATGGTTCGATACTCAAACTAGAATAATTATTATTAGCAACTATGAAAATTAAATTCAAAACGTTTATAATGTACTCAAATATTATCAGATAAAAATTATAAAAACACACGGATTTAACGGCGACATCCTTCTATGAATAACTATTTTAGCTAAGAAACGTTCACGGTTAATAAAATAGACACAATTAAAATCTATACATGTAACAGAAACCGTTTATGTAGCTATGTTTAGTTAAAAGAGTCTACAATATATTAAAAAAAATATATGCTTGTAATACTTTGATGTTCATTGTTATTTAGTTTTCATTCAGCACCAAATTGAGAAGTCTCACTTTTGTACATTTTTGGTCTTTGAGTAATTATTCAAATATAAAACCGTTGATGAAAAAAAAATGTAAAATTTTAATGTTTACTAATTTACTAGTGGTCAGTTAACGCATCTGATAGTTCAAATTTTAGAATCATTTCCCAAAAATACCAAGTCATTTTAATATAGTAGCTTATTATTTAATGTTAGGAAGTTTCTTACACAGGGTGATTTCAAGGAACACTCGTTTTCTATTCAACTAATTGTATTTTTTTCTTTTTGGGGTCATATTTTAAGTTGAATGTTATTTTACAATACTTGGCAATATATTGACATTTTAATCATTTTATTTTTTCCAAAGGACTATCCTTTGACTAGTCAATATCAAGTTTCGAATAATCACTTTAAAGTTATTAAAATTACAATTTAAGACAAAGAGTGGAATGCAGTAAAATAATGCGTGCAGCTAAAAACAATACTACAACTTCATCTTTCATCCCGTCCTAAATTATAAACTTTGATAACTTCAGAAGTAATTTTTTAAAAACCTGATATGGACGAGACAAAACTATCAACAAATATTATTTAATTTATAAAGTTAATTAAATACAAAACGTTATTGCTTAAGTTTTAAAAGTTAGATAGAACTTTGGAAAAATAAAAAAAGTAAACATTTTAATAATGTCAATATTGCAAAATAACAAAAAAATGCATTTTTACCCAAAGGAAAAATTAAAATTAAAATGGATGACCAAAAATAGGTCGTTTAAAGTACTCATGTAAAACCGATTAATTTTTTAAGTTTGAGTGTTAGGTTATTTAGTTTATTCAAGTCTGACAGAACATCTTACCTGAAAGGTTCTTTACTGTGCCAAAAATTCAAATAGTTTAGGATATGAGGTCCGAATATTAGACTAGACCGAAGGTAGATCTAGAACGGAGCTACAAAATATATAGTTTTCTCAAAAAAATCTGTAATCAAACTTGATTTAAATTAGGGAAAACCAAAATAAGACAAGATAAAATTATACTTTGACTGTTGTCCATTTCTAGGTTGCTATGTATGAGACAACAGTCAATAGGTAATTGAAAAAACATTCGTTACAATTGATTGCTCAACAACAAAAACACATTTATAAGCACATTATCTACAATGCTTTAATACATAGGTATTTGTATTTCTACTATTACAGATTTGCATCAAAACGTTTAATTGAGTGATTTTATCACATTACTCATACCTATACGAATTGGTTTTATAAATTATATCTAAATAAAATGGCTCTGATAAATGCATCATTTTTTTTAAAGAGAGATAGTCATAATTTATTATTTTTTATAATATAAATATATTATATATATATATATATATATATATATATATATACACACGAATAACAAAATAGCGTCGACCATGATCGTTTTTCTGTTTAAAGCAAGTGTAAAACAATAATAAGATACAAAAAATGTAGTTTCTGTCAACAATATGTTGTTGCCTTTAACCTACTTAAAGTTTAAATAACACAAGCTCTGTTAATGTAACTTTACATAATGGATTTTGTATATACACATTTTATGATACCCTACGCAGTGTGAGCTTAAAGTAAACAGATTCTATTCAAGTGGCGACCAAAGCAAATCCCCAATGAACGCAAATCACTTAAACAAACCGAAGCTGTTTTTCTAATACCTTTTATTCCAATAGCTGTTTTTTATTCAAAAAACAATATACCATTGTTTTTCACAACTCTTGTGAACCACAACTCGAAATGCAAAATAACAATAAGCAATTATTCATTTCATAGCTGGTCTCATTCGCGCCACGTACATATTTTGAGTTACAATGATTTCAAAAAATATTATACTGTTTTTTTGTGTCGTATCTTTTGTTCAAAAATGTATCTCAGATTCAAAAGTGGAGATTTCTACCGAGGTATGTATGCAGTGGATGAAACTTTTTCTTTATTACGCATTTCAAGGTAAAGATTTAGGCCTTTAAGTCTGAAACTAGACCGAATCTAGATCTATAACGGGATTAAAAAACATGTAATTTTCTCAAAAATCGGTAATTGAACTTTATTTATAATAGGGCAACCCAAAAAAAATGAAAGGAAAATAATTATACTTTGACCATAGCGATTTTATCACATAATTTCTACTTAAACAAATGGGCTTATAAATAATAGCCAAATAAAAAGACTCTGATGAATTCTGAAGATAAGATTTTTTTTTAATTCAATACTATTACTATAATAATAAAATAGCCCCGACCATGATTATTTTTCGGCTTAAAGTAATTGTAAAATGACATAAAAATGTATTTTCTTAGTCAACAGTCAAACTACTTCTGAAAATTTGTTGTTACCTTTAACTTATATAATATTTAAATTACACTAGCTCCGTTTAAGTAATTTTACATAATGCGTTTTGTATAAACATATATTTTAATGTTTACCTACAAAATGTGAGCCTAAATAAAACAGATTCTAGCCAAGTGGTGACCACAGAAAATCTCAAACGCATGTAAATCACTTAAACAAACATAAGCTGTTTTTCTAATATGCTTTATTCCAATAGCTGTTCTGTATTCAAAAATATATTATTATTGTTTTTGCTCGAAATACGTCAGAGGTATAAAACATGTTGCAAAAAACCAAAACCCAAATAATAATAAGCAAATGTTTATCTCCTAACTGGTCTCATATGCGTCACATACATATTTTAAATTACAATGTTTTCATTATTTATTTTACTACATCTTTGTGTCGTATGTTTTGTCTAGGATTGTATCTCAGATTCAAAAGAGAAGATTGCTATAGAGGTATGTATGCATCTAAAACTCAAAACTATTTTCCAGAGTGAGACTACCACATATGTATGATAGTTTCGTTAGCTGTCAAAATGTAAAACATATATACAATACAATATCAATATAAAAATGTTGCCCCATAAAATATTTTTTCGAGAATCTCGTTTATATTAGTTGTAATTGTATTAATTAAGTTATTATAAAATGTTTCAAAAATAAAGTTCCTTGCAACCACCGTTTTCATTCATTTAATTTCTTTTTGTTTTTTGTTCAGAGTCGGTTGTACTATTATAAGCTTTTAATTTCCCATCCACTTATGTATTAAAGGCATTAAATCCACCAGCTGTGAGTGCACCAAAAAAAAAAAGTATCTAAAAATTTGTTGAAAGAGTTTTTCAGAGTATTATAAAGCTTTTAACTTTTGAACTAGACTTATGTCCTTTTAAAAACAAACGATTTATACTATTCTAGGATATAAATGAAGGTCAACATGAAGAAGTAACCGATGAATGGGAAAAAAAATTTAATAAATACGACAGCAATGGCGATGGATTGATCTTCCCTAACGAATTACAGGAATTATTATTCCACGAGTTCAACGGATTCATCACCCTTAACCATGCAAGCAGATGTATAGCTTTAACTAATTTAAACGGTAATACAAATTATGTGTTCTACGTAATAATAATAATTCTACAATTGACATGATTATTTTCAGGAAGCAATCAAATAGGATTAGATCATTTCAAACACATGAAACCAATAATCGCGGTTTTGTCAAGGGTCTGTTCAGTTGTATTATTGTTATTGCGCAAGGGGAATAATTTTTTAGTTATTTTTGTTGAAAAAATTGTTAGTTATATTACTGCATAATATTCTAAAATTACCAGAATAACGGTCGATAACCAATTGCGGAACATTTCTTTTAAAGTTTTTAAAGTCTAAATATTTAGAGGGGAGGTATTTAGAAGGGTTTTCCATAATTAACAATAAGTTTGACTATATTAGGTATTTAAAAAAAACCATATAAGTGGAAGTCCCACCATAGCTATCCCACCTTTGGTCTAGACCTTATTTCTCAAAATTAAGATCAAAAATGTGAAAGAAAGAAAAATATTCCACCTCTTTTAGAGAAAAACGTTTTATTTTGCAAAAACAATTAAAATTATCCCTACCCTTTTGGCTATTGAAAAGTGAATGCAAATATTTCAAATATGTATCTTTTATAGTGCAGTTGTTTCGCTGTTGTAATTTAGATTTGATTGTTATTTTTGAAATGGAAAAGTAGCCGCTATACACAGGAATATTTAGTTTTGGTCGTTTAAAAATGGTTTCTGATTACTGAATAACCCAAGGGGAATAGCAGCCCCTTTTAACGGAGAGAATTTCAAAGGATATACCTAAAACATGCTTTGAGTTATTTATTTGTTTTCGACTAGTTTCCCTTTTCAGAAAAACGTACTCTTAATATATTCTCAATGTACATTTATATATTTTTACTATCCTTGATGTTCCGGTAATTCGGATTACCTACTATAATAATAAATATTATATTTTAATATTTAAAAAAAAATGTAACTCATTTTCAAAGAACTGCAATGAATTAAAATTGTAATATTAGCACATGAACTCAACAAAAATAACACAATTTTAAAAAACTCTAAAAAGAAAACCTAGAAAAAGGACATAATTTTAAACATATATATATGTATAACTTTAAACCTAACGATGAAGTCCTTATAAAGTATATGTAATATGCGTTTATTAATTTGTATTAGAGAGACATTTCAGAGGACAGTGGCAAAGTCAATGACGAAGTCGTTGGTGAGGGAACTGTTTTGAAAGAAGATTTACCTGTAATATTTATATTTATAACCAACTGAATAATCTGTTATAAAGAATACATAACATGCGTTTATTTTGTATTAGAAAGAAATTTCAGAGGACAATGGCAAAGTCGTTTGCAAGGAAAGTATTTCGGAAGATCGTTTTGTAGAACGGATATGGAATAATTTTAATAATAAAGTGTTTGATAAATCAACGGAAATTGACGAATTATTCTATCTTATGGGTCATAACGGTATTAAAATTCATACTTTCCAATTAAAATTTAATTTAAAATTATCCTCAACTATTTTACAGAAGATGATCCAATCGAATCGAAAAAATTAAAGGAAATAGAAGAAATGTTGGAAGCTTCTGAGAAGGTGTACAGTTAAAATCTTTACTTTATTATTATGATTAATCGTATTGGTAAAGAATAATATTAAGAATTTTAAATTGTTATGAGCATTTTTTAGCTTGGACGATTTAAGACTCCCTATAATCTAGTTAATAAAAATGTCAGCTAACAAGATGATATTTCAAGACTTTCCATTATCAATTGGCAACAATATTTTTAAGCATATTTCTCCTAGATTAAAAAAAAAATTCCTTTATTTATGACGTTTATGAAATGTTTAATCAACTATATGACATCAAACATGTTTTTGTGTGATTTGTGGTGAATTTATTTTTTTTAATATATTGTTTTAATTAAACATTCATTATTCGAGTAGTGCAGTAGATTCGAGTACAAAATTATAAATAACTGCGTATAACTTAACGAATACGCAAATTATGTTATAACATACTTGATAAAAACTTTTTTTCTTTAAATGTTTTAGTTGAATAACATGTACAAAGGGTTTTGCATGTTTGACAAAGACAAAAATAGCAAACTGACCGCTGAAGAGCTTGTTGAACTAATAAAATATGCACCTTTCCAGGAGGCCACCGTGGAAAATTCACAAAAATCGATAAACAACTTCGATACAAACAGTACATACTTAAGAACATCATTGAAATGTAAATTGTTTTTGATTGATATTTACATTTTTCCAGACGACGGTGTGCTTGATTTTTCGGAATTTGTATTTCTTATGCTTAATCCCGATGACGGAGATACAGAGTTCATAAAACTATTCGGTAAAGCACGCATAACTAGAGAACAAATAAACGATTACTTAAAACTGTACGGAATACAACTTACAGAGGAAGAATTAGAACAGATGGATCCTTCAAATCAAAATAGCATATCTCGCCGAGGTATAATATTATATTGTCAACTGTGTACAATTTTTTTTTGTAGTAACTTGTAATTTATATTTATTACAAGACCAATAACTTATTTTAAAAAAACGTGTATTTGTTTCAGACGTTGAAAAATATGTGAATAGTAGATAATCATTCACATTTAATTCTGCTATCAATTACATTTAATAATCATTTCATACATAAGTGGCAGTAAGGATTATAATCAATAGATTGTTTAATTAATTTGTTTAACGGCTTAAGATTTAAAATACATGATGGTGTTATAAAATATTCGTTTGTCTCTTTTTTTCTGCTATACATTAACTCCTAAAGTTAAGTATTTTCCTTCGCCGTAACACATGTTAATAACTCAATAATGTTCTATTAAAAATTGCAGTGGTCCGGTTTTGAACCATTCGATCAGTTCATGTACTCTTGAATTGAGTTGATGTAATCAAATATGTGTACATTTTACAATAACGCATACAAATAAATGCTTGCCTTAATACTATTACATATATTGACAATCCGCTTATTTTGGTTACAACCTAGTTAGGTTCTCAAATAGTACCGTGATTATGTTGTGTGCCATTATGTTAAACACAAACAGATAACAAATCTTGAACATTATTATACACAACATGGTACGGTATTACTTTAATAGTACTAAACAGCTATAGACTAAAAAAATGTATGCAATTTTTAGAGCAAGTTTCTATTGGAATTCACATGCTATTAGGAGTGTAGCCACTTCATATCTGTATTATTCATAAATTCTAGATGAAACAATCGGATTGAATATACTCTGCGTATGGTTCATGCAATACAAATAAAGAAGAGGGCTCAATCTATGCTATCTCTATAAATCCCTCTACACCAATATCTAATAACCGTTTTAATATAACTTTTTCCTTTTTTTATTCCGTCAACAAACCACCATTGGGGTTCTAGTATTTTTCTGTAAGTTTTTAACATTTATTTTTTGCTTGAAGTACCTATTCTTAAGATCAGATATTGTACCTGAAAAGTATATAACTGAACTATACTAACTGGAAGGTGTGATATAAGGTCAATGATGTCAGCCCTTTCCTTCAAAATAGAGAAAAGCGCGCAAAAAATGTACATAATATTTTTTAACTTAAAATTACAATGCTTTATAACTTTTAAAAAAAATTATTCGAACTAGTTCTAATTTTTTATGGAATAATCTGTGGACACGTTATTACCAAAAAAACGTCGACAAACCAAAATAACATCATAAGCCTTACTCCAAGAAGAGGTTGAATCTTTTTCTTTGTTACACTTTTTAGGTAAAGTTTTAGGGCTTAAGGTCTGAAAACTAGACCAAAGAAAGATCTAGAACGGGACTACAAAATATGTGATTTTCTCAAAAATCAGTAGTCAAAATTTATTTATATTAGGAAAAACCAAAAAAAAGAAAGAAAAATAATTATACTTTGACCGTAGTCAATTTCTAGGTTACTGTGTGTGGTGAATCGATAGTCAACCGGTATTTTAAAAATGATTTTATTATATTGTTATAACGATAAAAGGTCACCATTGTAATGAATTCTTATAACAGACGATCAACTCCTATCGTACCACCATGATACCGAAAATTCATTTTCAAGCACATTATTGTCACTAAGTTTAAAGAAACAACAAGACATAAAATTGTTTTTTCATAGTCAACAATCAAACAATATCTAAAAATTTTGTTATTACCTTTAACCTATGTACAAATTTAATAACACTAAGTCCGTTTAAGTAATTTTACATAATGCGTTTTTTATAAACATATTTAATGTTTCCCTGCGAAATTTGAGCCTAAGTAAAACCGATTCACGTGAACCATTTAAAGAAACAGAAGCTGTTTTTCTAATATGCTTTGTTCTAATAGCTGTTCTGTATTCTAAGATAATAATTTATGATTGTGTTTTACAATTTTTGTTTATGCTCAAATTACGTCAGAGATATAAAGCTTGCTGCAAACAACTGAAACACAAAATAACAACAAACAAACGTTCATTTCCTAGCTGGTCTCATACGCGTCTCGTACACATTTTGAATTATAATGTTTTCGAAAAATATTATACTACTTTTTTGTGTTGTATGTTATGTTCAGAAATGTGCATCAGTTTCAACAGAGGATATTTCTACGGTGGTATGTAAACATTTAAAACTCAAGTATATTTTCCATGTGGTCATAGACTTTTATGATAATTTTGTTAATTGTCAAAATAATTTTTCATTTATTAAATGAAAAATGAATAAATTATGTCCATAGGTGATATAGTATTAAAATAATTTAAACTATATTTAACGAAATTTTTCAATTATAAAGTTTTTTAAATTTATCTTTTTTATCAATTTTACATTTGTTCAATTTTACATTTGTGTTGGTTAGGGTATTATATTGCAAATAAATAATTTTCAGTTCGTCGAAAAGCTTTTATTTTCTTTGTTCCACTGTGTTTTTATATAATTTTTTTTTTAAAGGCATTAAGTCTGCCATCTGTGAGTGCACAACAATAAAAGAGGACTTAAAAGTTAGGGGGAAAATGTTTCTGTTTGAAAAAATAGTATTTTCAGAATATTTTAAAACTTTTAACTTTTCAACTCGACTTATGCACTTTTATGAACAAATAATTCATAATATTCTAGGATATAAATGAAGGGCCACATAAAGAAAGAACCGATGAATGGAAAGAGAAGTTTAAGAAGTTCGACGGCAACGGCGATGGTTTCATCACTGCTGAGGAATTACAAAAACTATTATTCGAAGAGTTCAGCGGGTTCGTCACCGTTGGCCATGCAAACAAATATATCTCTTTGACTACATTAAGTAGTAACAAATAAAATATTTGACGTAAAAATCATTCTACAGTTGACATGATTATTTTCAGGAAGCAATCAAATAGGATTCGAACAGTTCAAACACATGAAACCGTTAATCGCTATTTTGTCGAAGGTTTATTCAGTTTTATAATTGTTACTATACAGAGGATACAATTTTTTTTAATTTTTTAGTTATTCTTGTTGCCAATTTTTTCAAGTATTTTAACGCCCTACACTAGTTTTCTCTGTATACTTTACTGTTTTTTCTGTGTATGTTCATTTTATAGTGATCTTGTTTCAATGCAGTGCTTTATTTGGCCCTGTATAACATGCGTTTTTTATAATATTGTATTAGAAAGAAAATTCAGAGAACAATGACGAGGTCGATGATAAGGGAACCATTTTGAAAGAAGATTTACCTGTAATATATATATATATATATATATATATATATATATATATTTTAATTTTAAAGCCATTATAAATTATACATAACATGTTTTTATTATTTTTTGTTAGAGAGCAATGTCAGAGGACAGTGTCGAAGTCGATGGCGAGGGGACTATTTCAAAAGAAGATTTACCAGTAATTTTTTTTTTTTTACATCACTTAGATTGATTTAATGACTTTGATCGACCTCCACTCGTCTCTATCTATCACAGCTACTTATAGTCGTAATCCATTCATCGTTACTCATTATTGGCCCGATCTATTTTTTCCCCATTTCTCTGATTGTTTTCCGTTCGTTCATTCTTAAATATACTCGTTCTTTTTTAACTTCTTATTCTTTATACTTCTACTTATACTTATTCATTAACTTTTGATACTTCATACTTTTCCGCGGCTTTTGTCATCGCATTCCTCAATTTTTCCCATTCTTCTTCTATATTACCATGGTTCTTTTTGTTCTTTATTTTTGTAATAATTTATTTACTCGTTCATTGAAAGCACTTTTTATTTCTTTATTTTTGATTTATCCATACACCATTTTCTTTGTGTTTTTCCGTTATTTACCTTATATATATATATATCACGTCAGCCGGTTTTGCAAAGGAAGTATCTCCAAATACCGAATTTCACACTAAAAGGAAAAAAAAAACGTTTGATTTATTCTATTTATTGTTTAATGTGCTTATCATACATTTTTATGGTAAAAAAAAATTGAAATATAATGATTATTATACCAGCGGAAGCACAGTTATTTTTCTTTTAAATGTTATATGTATACCGAAAATTGATTTTTTTTGGAGACACGTCCTTTGCTAAATAAGTGACGATATAATTTATACATATATTTTTTTAATCTACCAAATAGATTGTTATAAAGTATAAATGACATATTATGCGTTTATTATTTTGTATTAGAGAGAATGTTTAGAGGACAATGATGAAGTCGAAGGCGAAAAGACTATTTCGAGAAAAGATTTCCTGGTATTGTTATGGGATAATTTCCAAGACAAACTGTTTGAAGAGGAAATAGAACTTTTCGAGATACTCGATCTTATCGGTTTTAACGGTACTATAATTCGTATCATCCTAATGAAATTTGTTTTAAAATTATCCACAACTATTTCCAGAAGATGACCCAATTGAATTGAAAAAATTAAAAGAAATAGAAGAAATGTTCGAGGCTTCTGTAAAGGTTACGATTCCATATCTTTAGTTTATTAGTATGATTAATCGTACAGAAAGGTTTTGGTAATGAATACTGTTAGAAAATTAAAATTTTTTTTTTTGTCGTAATGTTATGCTGAAATCCATTACTGAAAATCTTGGACGAATTAATAAGACTCATTTATAATAATTGAGTTTCTAAAAATGTCAGCTAACAAGATGATATTCCAAGTCTGCTTATCATAAATTGACCAGGATAGTTTTTTAACATATTTAAATCGGTTTTCATAGAACTAAAGAAAACTGTCATTTTTTTATACATTCTATAAAATGTTTAACCAACTACAGGAGCACAAAAATTAGTTTGTCATTTTTGTGGTGAATTATATTTTTTAATATATGGTTTTAACTAAATATTTGTTATTCGAGTATTGTACATTTGAGTATAAATTATATATTTACGTACATCATAACGAATAAGCAAGTTGTGCTATAACATAGTAAATAAAAAATATATTATGTTTTTATTTTTTAGTTGAATAAAATATACAAGATTTTTTGCTTATTAGACAAGGACAGCAATAGAATTCTTACCGCCAAAGAGCTTGTTGTACTATTGGAAATTGTATGGCCAACTATGGCTACCATAGAAAATGCAACAGTTACGATGACGCCTCGTGATAAAAATAGTACATACTTAAGATCATCATTAAAGTGGAAATTGTTAGTGATTGCTATTTACGTTTTCCAGGCGACGGTACAATTGATTTTCCTAAATTTTCACATCTTATGCTTCATCCCGGTAACGAAGATCAGACATTCATAGATATGTTTTGTACTGCACGCATAACTAGGAAACAGCTCAACACTTACTTTTATCAACTATACGGAGAACGACCTACAGAAGAAGAATTAGATCGGATAGATCCTTTACATCAAAATAGCATACCCGCCGAGGTATAACATTATAATGTCAATTATATGCATTTTTTTTTTATTTGAAGGGGACTAAATTTTAATTGGACTTATTAAATTTAAATTGATTTACGAATAAACCTATTAAAAAATGTTTCTCATTTTCCATTTGTTATTTATGGGAGGCGCGTAGGAGGAGTTCTTACGCAAAGGTTTTAAGTCACTATGTGGCGAATTGCATAAAGGCATAATTATACTATAGTAATTTTTCGAGTTTCATTAGATAACTGTACAGAGAAAATTATAGTAATAGTTCAGAATACCAATTATAATGTAGAGTTGTAACTATAACAACTATTATATATTTGTTACAAGACCAATATTTTTTTTTAAAAACGTAAATTTGTTTCAGATATTGATAAATGTGTAAGATGTAAATAGTGAGGAAATACAAAATCAATCACAGGACTATTAATGAAATTTCATGTATAAATGTCAATAGGGATTGTAAACAACAGATTGTTAAATTAATTCGTATATCTACTACAGATTAAATACATTATGGTTTAATAATTTTTTTTCCGTTATACAATAATCCATAAATACAAGTATTTTCCTTTGCCATATCACTGATGTTACGAATTTAATAATGTTTTATTCAAATTTGTAGTGTTTCGGTTTTGAACCATTCGACCAATTCATTTACCTGGAAGGTATTATATAAGGCCAAAAATTTGAAACAATCCACACATCCCCGGTCAAGAAAAATGCCACACAAATTTACATATTTTTTAACTTTAAAATATAATTTTTTATACCTTTTTAAAAAACACATAAGCGTTGACAAACCAAAAAAATATCATAAAGCTGTCCTACAAGAAAAGGTTGAATCTATTTCTTTATTACCCCTTTTTTAGTGAAATTTGAGTTCTTAAAGGTCTGAAAATTACACCGAAGATAGATCTAGAACGGTTCTACATGTAATTTTCTCAAAAATCAGTAATCAAACAGCAAACTTTATTTATATTAGAGAAAACCCCCAAAAATTATAATTTGATCGTAAACCACAGGTATTTAAAAATATTTTTCTTATATTGTCAACTACGATGGGTAATATTAAAACAACAGGAAATAAGCATTGCAATTCTTTGATACGTATTTATTTTTATTTTTTACTTGCAAATTATACAAATTTTGAGTCTTTTAGAAAACGTAGCATTTAATGTATTGTTATACGAATATATTAGTAAATATAATCCTTGATATTTTTTATGCGTCCTTGTGTAAATAAGAATTTTAATATTTAGATAATTGTAGCTAATAGGACATTCTCTACCGAACTTGGAATTTTTGTTTAAACTTAATTATTTTGTATTGTCCTATAAACGATTGTCTGACATCGTAAAAAAAAAAATAATTTAACCAGTACGCTTTAAATTATATTGGTTTTGTAGAAAACCAAAAATATTGTAATTATGGCAAAAGACTATTTCAACTTTATCGTCTCGAATAATAAAATAGCGCCGACAGTGTTTATTTATTTTGTTTAGAGCTATTGACAGAAAGACAGAGTGGTCCAAAGCACAAGTCTAGATGGTGTGTATGCTCACTTAAGTAAATATATGTTGTTTTATTTAGGCCTTGTTTTTAATATATAGTGTTTTATATACTTTTACCTACGTCATAAACATAAGATTTAGTGCGCAAAAAATTGTTTTAAAATAGGTATTAAATGAAAATTAATGGCTGTTTTTTACCGACTGTTTATTTATTCACTTTAAACTAGGTCGGATATAATATCATATTATAAGCTTGGTGAGAAAAAAAAAATCAGCAGAGATCCATTGTCAAGCAGATTGTACACACGCCACGTACATAATTTGAATTACAATGAATTTAAAAAATATTATCGCACTTTTGTGTGTCGTATGTTTGGTCGAGAAATGTAGTAGCATACAGATTGAGCAGTCACCAGAGACATCAAAGAAAACAGAAGATCAGACACCAGAGACATCAGAGAAAACAGAAGATATAACGGAGGGACTTACTCAGGTGGTAAGTATCCAAAATTTAAAATTCTATTAGAAAGTCTTCGTGACCTAAACATTATGCTCTACTATAACAAAAAAACAAGGACCGTATAATAATATTCTTGTTTGATTATGTCAATATAATATAGATATACCGGGAGATCAATCTGTTGTTAGCAGATTTGGGCATTATTCGAATAATTTTTTATCTAAATAAATATTTTATTCGACTGACCAACGGATAATATTTGTATTCGAATACCCGTCAAATAATTGATCATAGAATAATTATTATTAAAAAAAAAAAAACTGTTAAAATGATTTATTTTCAGTTTACTCGAACTCTAACCATAAAAATATAATTCAATTAAAAAAAATTATTCGAGTAAAAAATGTTTGAATAAAATACTTATTCAAATAATAAAAATAATCATTTTTGGTTTTTTCGAATAAAAAAATTAATCGAAGAAATCATCTAAAATAGATCATTCGAATAAGAAATGTCCAACTCTGGTTGTAAGACCCTATATGACATAATTATCCAAAAATAATTATTATCATAATCACTTTTAAAAAACTAGTTGTAATAAGGTATCCATTCGATAAAAGACCATCGTTTTCTTGGAATATATGAAGATTTATAAAAATATCTTTCCCTAATTTGTAGGTACATATTTTATGATTACTATATTTTTCAATGATTCAAACATGTTTTTCGTCAACCCTTAAACGTAAAAAAAGTATGGACTTTGGTTTTCCAAATTGTTTTTAATTCGATAAATATGTAGATAACATTTTTCTAAAAATTTAAGAGTTCGAATTTTTCATTTTCATCAATTTGTTCGTTCACGCTATGACTTCCAAAAACCTATAGCCGTTTTTAAACAGGTGGATAAAAAACGCTTGCCTTGATAATTTAAACATATTTGATTGCGTCTGGTTAACGGTGTTATCGCCTATCGGCTATCGCGCAATGCGAGCACAAAATATATTAATATCAATTGTATGGACCACTAGTCTTAGGAACCCGAAAGAAATAAGCCAGTTTTGATGAAAATTTAGTATACTCGCAAAGCTGTAGCAAACGAATCGATTGATGAAAATGAAAAAAATCCAATTACATTCTTTAATAATTTTTGGCCGCATATCTTTAGAATTAACGAAAATATGTTCCCGTTTGAAAAAATGAAGTCCATACATGTTTTACATATAAGCGGTTAAGGTAAACAAGTTCAGAGCATTGCAAGTATAGTAAAATATGTACATATTAAGATACATAAGTACCTAAGTACTAAAGTAAAGCAAAAAAAAAAAAATAATTTTCAAAATATTCATACTGACCAAAAAAACGAGTGTCTACATCAGATTGCTCACGCTAAAAAAAATATTATTTAATTTTTACTTATGATAACAAATAGTTAGTAGCAAAGAAACGAATTATATTAGAAATATTTGCTTTTCTCGTCTGCATGGTTATGGAAATTTGTTTTTTTGTGTTTTCCAAACATTTTTGAAATTTTTGACTTAACCTTATCTTGATTAAATGATTCGCATAAAACGAATTTTCAAATAATATTCTAGGAAATAGACGCAATTCTGGATAACCGTGTAACCGATGAATGGAAAGAGAAATGGCAAGTTATATTCAACAAGTTCGCCCACAAAAAGCGGCATATGATCGACGCAGCCGAATTACAGAGCCTACTATTCAATGAGTCAGTCGGATTCATCCCCCTTGTACAAGCAGGAAAATTAGTAGCTATGCTTAACCGAACCCGTAATTATTATTATTATAATAGTAAACAATATTCTGCGTTAAAATCATTCTTTAATCACCAAAACAATTTTCAGCAAAAGCAACCGTTATTGGATTCGAACATTTTTCAACTATGAGTCCGATATTGGACATTTTGTCGACGGTATATTCAGATGTGTTATTGTTAGTGTATCGTAGGCAGATCCATTTAACGAATAACACTCATTATCTTGCAATATTAGTACAGTTTTTGTAGATTATATATTTGAAAAGAGGAGGAGGAGTGGCCGAGTGGGTAAGGCGGCAGTGTGTTAGCGCTCACTGTCGCCGTTTCGACACTCGGTCACAGGCGCTCCGTTTGCTGGGCGAGCAATCGTCCGGTAAAAAGGAACCGCCATCCCCCTCTCCGACGACGGATTGACGACCCGTCCCGGAAGCGAATTCGTCAAGAAACTATCTCATGATGGCAGCGTTGGGCCCTCGTGGCCCGTTAAGCTACATGATGATGATATATTTGAAAACTTTTTTATTTATGTGACTCTACGAAATTGTCTACAAATGGTAACTTATACACCTATGCATAATACGCAAAATAAGTAAACAATATAAGTATTTTAGTAATAGTAATGATAGGTTTAGGTTAGATTTAAATAAAATTGGGAAGGTTAGATTTGAGTTAGGCTTAGGACAGGTCTAACCTGAATTCGCGACATAAAGAGGAGAGTAGTGTAGAAGAGAAGAGCGAGTAGGGGATTTGAAGAAGAAGAGGTAAAATGGCAGGAGAAGGAAGATACAAAGTTGTCTATATTATGTTGTGGTGTTTGATGATTTTTAACATGATAGTTTTGAAGTTAACGGAAAATAGGGTTTAAAAAACTTACACAAGTTCTTTTGTTTTGTAGCGATTTAAGGGTAGGAAAGATTATTAAAAAAAAGGAAGTAAAACTACCAGAACTTAGATACCAAACGTTTATTTTCTTGATTTTTAATTTCAATAAACTCCTTTCTAGTTTATGAAAAGAGCCATGCTCCTCCAAATAGATAAACTAATTTTTTAAGAGAAAATGAGTGTCCTGAACTTAGCTCTATACAATTTTTTTTTAATCTAAGCCTATGCAAATAAATAGTTTAGTATTCCTAATATGCGTTAGTTAAAATTTTTTTAGAGAAAAATGAAAAAATACCCAGAATACGGAAATAGGGCTATTTCGGTAAAAAGATGCAATAGAATACTCTGGAATATATTTAAAGAAACACTATTTGAAACACAAGAAGAAGCTTCAGAAATCACCAAACTAATGGGTCTTGGAGGTATTAATAAACTTATCTTTATATTGAAATTTGTTTTAAAATTATTCACAACTTCTTTCAGATGATGATGAAATAGCAATGAAAAATGTCGATGAACTAGTAGACATGTTGAGAGCTACTGATGAGGTTAACAGCTCTTATATTTGCTATATTATTTTGTTAAATCATATTGAAGGGTTTTGGTAAAGGATAATATTATATTTTTATGTTTCAAAAATCTTAACGAATAACAAATACGCATATTGTATTATAAGTTATAACGCAACGTAGGTATTTAATAAAATATTGTTGATTTATAAATACTATAGTTGGACAACCTATTCAAAGCTTTTTTCAAATTCGATAAGAACAAAGATGGAATCATTAACGACGAAGAGTTGTTAAGAATAATAACACGTTATAATAGTGACTACACCATAGATAATGCTGTAATAGCGATACAAAAATTTGATAAAAACAGTAAATACTTTAGAACATCATTAAAGTGGAAATTGTTTTTGATTCATATTTAAATTTTTCCAGATGACGGTGTAGTTGATTTTCCTGAATTTTTGAGAATGATGAAGCTTCCTTTTAGCGTGGAAAAGATGTTTAAGGATGAGTTTGATGAAACACACATAACCAGACAACAACTCAATAGTTTAGTTAAAAAAGCAATCGGAGATGTTCTTGATGAGGACACTTTAAATGAGATAGATCCTTCACATGAAAACAGAATAACTTACAACGGTATACTATTTATTATACTGTCAATCGCAAACTATTTTTTTAATCTAAAATGTTCATTTTTAACGAACAATTTAAATACATATAATTCGTAAATAAAAATATCAATCGGTAAATAAATCTATTAAAACTTTTTATTTTCAATTTTTAAATAGAAGAGTCATATTTATAGAGCTATTGATAAGGCTTAGTTCATAAACTTATCACACAGAATTGTGTACTGACAGTTCTGCATACTAATTATTATGTTGAGTTCTGACTATAATACTATAAGTTATAAAATATAATTATTTTTGTTTATCGCAAGAAAACATATTTAAAAAATGTATATTTGTTTCAGATATTGAACGTTTTTACATACGTCGTTAGTAAGGAATACACTCTACACAAGCATATTAATTCAATTTACTGAAAATTTCATTCATACACTTTAATAGGAATAAATAGTTGTCAATAATCAATAAACTGTTTAAATAAGCAATTCAAATTTTTTATGAATTACCCTATTTTAAAATGTTTTTAATTTTTAATTTATTGTTAATGGAAGGAGAAGTTCTTAAGCAAAGGTTTTTAAGTCACTATGTGACGAATAGCATAAAGACATATTTGTTACAAGACCGTTTTTTGAAAACGTAAATTTGTCCCAGATATTAATAAATGTGCAATATGTAAATAATGAGGAAATACACAATCAAGCACAAGAATATTAATGACATTTCATATTTAAATGGAAAGAGGGATTGTAATCAACAGATTGTTAAATTAATTTGAGGAACTACTTCAGATTAAAAATACATGGTATAATTTTTTTCCGTTATACAATAATCCATAAAAACTATGATTTTCTTTTGCCATAACACAGATGTTATATATCAATAATGTATTATTCAAAATTGTAGTAGTCTGGTTTAAAAACATTCGACGAGTGAATTACTTACCTGAAAGATATTATATAAAGCCAAACATTTGAAACGATTAGCACATCTCCTGTTGAAAAAATCGGCAATAAATTTACATATTTTTTAACCTGAAAATATAATTATCTATAACTTTTTTAAAAACAATCAAATTAGTTCAAATTTTATATATTCTGTAGACATATTACTGCCGATAAACGTTGACAAACCAAAAAAATATCATAAAGACTTCCATTAAGAAGATGTTGAATCAATTTCTTTATTACCCTTTTTTTAGTGAAATTTGAGGCCTTAAAGGTCAGAAAATTAGACCTTAGGAAGATCTATAATATATCAAATTTCTAAATATATAACATTTTATGTACACTTTTGTTAATGATAACCCCCAGCCCCCAAAGAAAAAATTAAAATTATACTTTGATCATAATCAATATCTAGGTCGCTATGTGTGAGTAAATTAATAGTCCACAGGCGATTTAAAATATTTTTCTTATATTGTCAATTACGATGTATGTTCACTATTGCAATGAATTATTATAGACAAATTTACCCTAATCGTATTCATCCTATTACCAAAAATAATTTTTTTTTTAAATACCATTTGTTTGTCAGTTTGCTCCTACTAGGGTCTAAAAACTTATTTCGGATAGATCATTTATAAGGGTCCTTATAGGACTCGTTAGATGTTCAGTTTTCAATTATTGTATCTATATTGGCCCTGCACAACACTCTTTTTTTATTGGATTAGTTACCACTGATTAAAGTCGTGGGGGGGGGGGGGTTCGCTGATTCGAAAAATATATGTCTGTTTTGCTCAGTTTCCTCTTATTGATGAATAATTGTGGCCTATACACCATATATAGAACTTTTACTGGCTATAATTTCGAGAAAATGAGTCGAGTCGAGTTGAAATTTATAAGGAATATTGATTTGGTATGCCCGCACACGTCAGTTGTATCAAATATAAATTATAACCATTTTCCATCCTCCTAGGAGGGGTGCAAGTTTATTTGTTTTTTGGGTTTTTTAGCCGTAATTTTAAGACCTTAAAATTGAAAATTTGTCAGTAGTTAGAACACATATGTGTCAACTCAAAAATGTATCAAATCATTACAACAGTATTATGTGGATCTTTGCAGAATGATACTATTAAGTTTTGATGCTCAAGTACCATTTTTGGGTTTTAATTTAATTTTTTTCACCAAGTTTTTTTTGGTTAAGTAAAATTGAAAACTGATATTAAATTCACAATCATTGACCCCAACAACATATAATTTGACCACTTTTGAAGTCTTTTACACAAAAATCCAGAAAAACGTTATAGCTTCGATGCAGAGCATCAGCTCCATTAAGTTGCCCCCCCCCCATATCGCAAATTTGGATTTCTTTAAACATCACATGGTTGTAATGCGTTAGTGCTGGTTTATGCCGAAAACCCCATCGTTAGTGCTCCCTTTGTCTCGAACCCTTATTTCATAACACCTATAGCTTACCTCCTACCACCTACCCCTATCTCATATCTCTTACCCCTACCACCAACCCCATTCCCACCCCAACCCATCTTCATCCTTATCCCATCCCCATTTCCACCCCCAACCCCATTTCCGTGTCCATAACGCTTTTTTCGTTACGCTTTTTTGGTAACACTTTTTTCGGTTATGGGCCAGAGCTAATTCCCACCCCCAACCTCATCCTCATTCCAACCCACGACCCCATCTCCGTGTCCTAACGCTTTTTGACATTTTTATGTCTTTGGTTTGGCACACACACGGAAAATCAACTCCTGTTATCATAACGAAAAAACCGACACCGACACCTGTTATCATAACGAAAAATGGTACTTGTTTTTTACTTTTCATTCTAAATTTACTTCGAGTTCTTAAGCTATCAGAATTAATACATAGGTCGTGTTGAAAGTAATCGAAGAAAATCCACCTTGACGTTATTAAGAGGCCTCCACACCTGTGTATTTTCTATAACTGTTAGACATTTTTCAATACTTAACCGATGCATAGTTTGTAGAAAATGTTTAGTTTATTTTTAAATCTTATTGTAAAGATAAAAATTCTCCAAAATCGGGATGATTTCCAATCTGTTTTTGTTACTCATGTACCTTTTCTACCCTTTTAAATTTTAATATTGTATAGAAATATAATATATAATTGTTTATAAATATATAAATAGGGTGGGGTGGTGTAATCTTGTTTGTGAGTTAACTCACATAAGTTAGGCCTTTCGGGACGTTTTAAACAGCCCGTCCCTGTTTATATAGGTTTATAACTTGACTTAGTCATGTATTTAATTGAGTTTTATTTTATAAGAACAAAAGTAGTTAAACCTTAGCCATCAGAATATTATACAAATCTGGGGATTTTATATACGTACTTTTAAATTTGTACATAGTTTACATATGGTTTGAAGTATAATTTTTTGTGTTAAGTAACAACAAGTTTATTTGATAGTTCCCCATCAAGAAGAATATATTATGTATAGTATATTAAATCGGATAATTCGGTATCGCTTTTATAAAATGTGTCCTGGTTACATAATATCTGTTGTTTTTTTACAAACCGATGTATTCGTACACGGGTAACCTTCATATATTTGTAGTTTAACATGGAAACATGTTATTATTTGAACAATGCACGTGTGAAATATTGTTATGCTCGTGTATTACAACTTAGATTGTACTTAGACTGAGAGGCCTCTGTCCCTCGGAATTTGCCTTGTTATGTAGAAGCTAGCCTGATAAATCGGAAAACACAACTTAATAAATCATTGTAGTGATACAAGGGCCGCTATTTATTTAAATAACATTTGATTTTGTCTAACACTGCAAAGAGGGCAATAGCCTTCCCTAGAATTTTTTTTAGTCGCTCTCTCTTGAAAATACATGCATTTTCTAAGTTCGTGCTAGATGTGCAACTGAAAAGGTTTTCTTTTCTTTCATTTTTCCACATAAATAATACACCTATTCGGCTTTCCGGATTGCGGCACGCTATACATTTTTGAAAAATGAATACAATATATAGTATAGTTCTAACAAAATATCATTAACCCTTCCTAAATAATTGACAAGCATTTATTTCGCCTTTTGCGGTGTGGATCAGATTTTGCCCTATGATTTAAAAAAGAAATAACCTGAGAAATAGACGTGTAAAGCATTATTGTTATGGAAAGTATTGTTATCAGTTGACATTGAATTTTGAGAATTTCGTTCGTAGTTCATATTTTTGTATGTATACAGTTGACACCTTTAAACGATGGTCGTACTTAGGGGTATATAACCGTGCTCGAGGCATGTAAGTTATCATTAAAGTATTATTTTGCCATTTATGTCTCAATAGCTGCAAATATTACATGTGATATTCTTTTATTCTATACATTTCGTATAACGGCATTCGTGTGTTACGTACACATATTAATTTAAAAGTATTACTAAAAAGAGAAGAGTGTTATATTTATTAATTAATAGAATATTATATAGACTATCTCTTTCTTAGTAAATAGTAACGCGAAAACACCACTGACCAAAGGGGAAGATCGTTTCATTATACATAACAACTGTATAAAAAAAACCTATATTACTATAATTTGTGTTTTATTGTATCTGGAAAAATTGTAACAAATAGAACGACTATTTTCTAAAGTGTACAAAATATTTTAACGAGAGGCCCAAATTTAGGTCTCCATAATTGAAAATATGTTAGGTTTTATTCAATACACTGAATATAACTTGAATTCGCTAGTATATTATAGTAAGCGAAAAAGTGTGTAAACATCACACAGTTAGTAACATTATTTTTTGCGACTTTTTTGCCTTAAATTCGTATCGATTTGAAAAAACGTTGAAGTATTATGTGTAAAACACACAACTATTTTCATTTTTTTTTTAAGGTCTTATTTTTTAAGCTTCACATCGACGTGAACAACAAATGAGTAATAATCCACACAAAACCCTTCACTGTAACAATACACAACCGCAAAAACAATTTTACAAATTTAGAATTTAGAATTTTGCACACAGTAACGCGTTGAAAAATAACATGCTTTGCAATTTAAAATATGTAGGACAAATTTTTGTACACTGAATTGTTTTTATATAAATCGTATTTAAGCCAACCCAATACCAATGTGGTTGGCCAGCCAAGATATTTTTTTCCACAACTAATATTATATACACGTATATAATATATATATACATATATATATAGGGTGTTCAAAATGTTTGAAGCCCCTTGATTTTCAGAGCCTCTTTTGATTTTTTTTTAAATTTTGACTTCTGAATGATATTAGGTGAAACTTGACGCACTATATTTAATGCTTAAGTATAGTGTTTTTCATTTATATTCTTAAAAACATTTTTTAAGCATATTCAACAAAAAAAATATTTTTTAACTAATATTTTTCAAAACTCTTTCTGGTGACTTAACATATGGTCATACCCTCGACCGTCAAACAATTTGAACATTTAAATTTCTGTAAAAATGTAGACCTCTTAAATTCAATTTTATTTTTACTTATTACAATAATAAACTGTAGTGATTGAAACATAATTTTGAAATATTATAAATATTTTCATTTATGAATCACTTTTTTTTCTAATTCTTAGATATGAAAATGATAAATGATAATTACAAGGCATCTGGTTTTTTTTTACCTATAAATGTATTTAATTATTTTACATGTCCATCGTTAAAATGGCCCCCCCTCTCTGAAAACGGTATAACTTTGGAATGGAGGGAGCACTAACGATGGGGTTTTTGGCACAAACCAGTAATAACGCAACACAATCCGGTGATGTGTAAAGAAATCAAAATTTCCGATGTGGGGGTGGGAGGGGGGACTTAATAAAGCCCAGAGCAGCGAAGGTATTGGTTCTACCATGATGTGGGCTTTTTTTGTGTCTGTAAACACTGTAACTTTTTGAATACTGGTCCAATTCCTTCGAGTAGCCACTCTATAAATCACAAATTGTATAAGTGTTGGTTTTTATGCAGTCTACCGTCCCAAAATTGATTTCCTATTCACAATTTTTTACTGTTATTCATTTAAAGAGAGTCACGCTTGATTATTTAAATTATCCAATATTAGATAATCTGCTTCGTGCTATTTTTTATTTTTTAGGTTAGCAACTTGTAGCTCTGATTTTGTATAAAATATTTTATTATTTTATTACTATATTCAAATTAAGATATATATATATTTTAATAATAATTAAAAATCATGAATGATAATACTTTATATTATGATTAGATCAAATCTCTTGAACAAGTAACTTTGTGATACTTCTCCAATATTATTATTAAAAAAACACAATTTTTAAAACCTCCATTAAAGGTTATTGTTAAATATGTAAATGTAACAGGCAACAGCCAACAGCTAGTGGCTATAAACGTTAGTAATATTTAATATATGTCAGCAAAATATATTGTTTTCTCCATCACAGTACCAGTATATGATTTAATTTTAATTTAGATGTTAGAAACTCAATTTTTTTTTAGAACACAACAACAAATTAATATACAGGGCGGGGCAGTAAAATGGGCGATTTTCCAATGTATTTAAACTGGAAAATCGCCCGTTTCACTGCCCCACCCTTAAAATTTTAAGGATCTATGAAAAGGTTTTTTTAGTTGCATTTTGTTTGTACCTTTTCAATTTAGTAAAATAGAAGTATATTAAAGCTTTGAAAGAATATAATCAATAAAGTATCAATAGTTAGTATTGAGATTGCTTAAATGGAAGTATACATGTAATACATAAATATTAATTTTATTGAGGATAAGTGATTATAATTTAAACTATGGAGTTCCAATGATTGAAACATAAAAAACGCTTCGATTACCAATACAGTGTATAACTCCGTTTAAGAAGTCTAACGTGTATAATATGTATAGAACATTTTAATATTTTCCTATAAAGTATGTTAGAAACTTTACCATTTCTCGTTAAGCGTGATCCAAAGCACAAGTCTCGATAGTGCGTATGCTCACTTAAGTAAATAAACGTTGTTTTCTTTTAGGCCTTTTTTTATATATATATATAGTGTTCTACATACTTTTACCTACGCCATATATATATACGATTTAGTGCGAAAATATTGTTTTCGAATAGGTATTAAATGAAAATTTATGTTTTTTACCGACTGTTGTATTTACTTTGAACTAGGTTGGATATAATATAATATTATAGGCTTGGTGCGAAAAAAACAGGCAGCAGAGTTCCATTGGCAAGCAAATTGTATACACGCAACGTACATAATTTGAATTACAATGAATTTAAAAAATATTATCGCACTTTTCTGTGTTATATGTTTGGTCAAGAAATGTAGTAGCGTACATACTGAGCAGTCACCAGAGACATCAAAGAAAACAGAAGATCAGACACCAGAGACATCAGAGAAAACAGAAGATATAACGAACAGACTTTCTCAGGCGGTAAGTATCTAAAATTAAAAATTCTATTAGAAAGTCTACGTGACCTAAACAATATTATCTATTAAAACAAAAAAAACAAGGACCGTATAATAATATTCTTGTTTGATTATGTCAATATACTATAGATATACGGGGCGATGAATCTGTTGTTAGCAGATTTGGGCATTATTCGAATAATTTTTTATCTAAATAATTGTTTAAATAAATATTTTATTCGACTGACCAACGGATAATATTTGTATTTGAATGAATACTCGTCAATTAGTTGTTCATAGAATAGTTATTATTAAAAAAAAAACTGATTAAATGATTTATTCTGACTCTTACTCTAACTCTAACCATAAAAATATAGTTAAATTAAAAAAAATTATTCGAGTAAAAAATGTATGAATAAAACAATCATTTAGGTAAAACAAATATTCATATGAAAAAATTATTCGAATAAATCGTCATAGTGTCGAATAAATTAGTTATTATTCGTTCTTCGAATAAAAAAACACCAACTCTGGTTGTAAGGCACTATATGACATAATTATTATTTAATCCAAAAAGAATTATTACCATAACTACATTAAAAGCTATGTGTAGTAAGGTTAAAAGCGTCAAAACCATTTTATTAAGGCAGTTAATTATACAAGGTGATCAATTCGATGAAAGACACTAACTATCTTGGAATCTATAAATATTTTGAAACAAAACCATTTTCTTCTAACTTTTAGGTAGTAGGTACATATTTTATGATAACTATATTTTTCAATAAATTAAACATTTTTATCTTTAACCCTTAAACGTAAAAAAGTGTGGACTGTGGTTTTTCATGTTTTTAATTAAATATTTTTATAAAAATTTAAGAGTTTGAATTTTGAGTTTTCATCAATTTGATCATTCGTCCTATGACTTTGTAAAAACATTCAATTTTCTCATATAATAATACGTCTTCAGTTTTCTAAAAACCATTGGCCGTGTTTGAACAGGTGGATAAGAAACGCTTGCCCTACATATTCGATTGTGTTCGGTTAACAGTGTTATCGCATGTAATATACTCGCAAAGCTGTAGCAAACGAACCGATTGATGAAAATTAAAAAAATCCAATTGCATTCTTTAATCATTTTTGTCCACATATTTATAGAATTAACGAAAATATGTTCCCGTTTAAAAAAATGAAGTCCATACATGTTTTACATATAAGCGGTTAAGGTAAACAAGTTCAGAGCATTGCAAGTATAGTAAAATATGTACATATTAAGATACATAAGTACCTAAGTACTAAAGTATAGAAAAAAAAAAATTTTTTTCAAAATATTCATACTGTCCAAGAAAACGAATGTCTACATCATATTGCTCATACTACATTGAAATATTATTTAGTTGTTTACTTATGATAACAAATAGTTAGCAGCATAGAAACAAACTACAGTAGAAATACTTGCTTTTCTTGTCTGTATTATGACTAACTTTAATGTGATTATGGACATTTGGTTTTTTGTGTTTTCCAAACATTTTTGGAATTTTTTACATAAAATGAATTTTCACATAATATTCTAGGAAAAAGACGCAATTCTAGATAACCGTGTAACCGATGAATGGAAAGAGAAATGGCAAGTTATATTCAACAAGTACGCCCACAAAAAGCGGCATATGATCGACGCAGCCGAATTACAGAGCCTACTATTCAATGAGTCAGTCGGATTCATCCCCCTTGTACAAGCAGGAAAATTAGTAGCTATGCTTAACCGAACCCGTAATTATTATTATTATAATAGTAAACAATATTCTGCGTTAAAATCATTCTTTAATCACCAAAACAATTTTCAGCAAAAGCAACCGTTATTGGATTCGAACATTTTTCAACTATGAGTCCGATATTGGACATTTTGTCGACGGTATATTCAAATGTGTTATTGTTAGTGTATCGTAGGCAGATCCATTTAACAAATGACACTCATTATCTTGCAATATAATTACAACTTTTGTATACTATATTTTTGAAAACTTTTTTATTTATGTCGCTCTACGAAATTATCTACAAATGGTAACTTATATACATATACACTAATATACACCGATGAAAGCATAATAAGTAAAAAATATAAGCATTTTAGTAATAATAACTAAAGGTTTAGGTTAGATTTGAATAAGATTGGTAAGGTTAGGTTAGATTGGAGTTAGGTATAGGACAGGTCTAACCTGAATTCTCGACATAAAGAGAAAAGCAGTGTAGAAGAGAAGAGCAAGTAGGGGAATTGAAGAAGAAGAAGTGGAATGACAGGAGAATATAAGAAAGGAAAAGCGAGATACAAAGTTGTCTATACAATGTTGTGGTGTTTGATGATTTTAAACATGATAGTGTTAAAGTTAACGGAAATTAGGATTTAAAAAACTTACACAAGTTCTTTTGTTTTGTAGCGATTTAAGGGTAGGAAAGATTAGGAAAAATAAGGAAGTTAAAAGAACCAGAACTTAAATAGCAAAAAGTAATTATCGAAAAGTTAAAAAAAATTATCTATTTTTATTGACGATTCCATGGTTTTCTTTTGTATAAAAACAAGCCTTGAACTTTTTTTTGTAGCATCTCCGACGGTTGCCTGCTAAGTAATAACTAAAAATGTCCAAAACTAACATTTTTTTTCTTAATTTTTTATTTCAATAAACTCCATTCTAGTTTTTGAAAAGAGCCATGCTCCTCCAAATAGATAAACTAATTTTTTAAGAGAAAATGAGTGTCCTGAACGTAGCTCTATACTACTTTTTTTTAATCTAAGCCTACGCAAATAAATATTTAAGTATTCCTAAAATGCGTTAGTTAAATATTTTTTAGAGAAAAATGAAAAAATATCCAGAATACGGCAATAAGGTTATTTCGGTAAAAGAATGCAATGCAATGTTATGGAAGACATTTAAAGTCAAACTATTTGAAAAACAAGTAGAAGCTTCAGAAATCACCAAACTTATGGGCCTTGGCGGTATTAATAAACTTATCTTGAAATTTGTTTTAAAATTATTCACAACTTCTTTCAGGTTATGATAAAATTGCAATGGAAAAGGTCTATGAACTAAAAGACATATTGAGAGCTACTAATGAGGTTAACAGTTCATATCTTTACTCTATTATTTTGTTAAATCATATTGAAGGGTATTGGTAAAGGATAATATTATATTCTTATACTTCAAAAATCATAACGAATAACAAATACGCATATTGTATTATGAGTATATGAGTATTTAATAAAATTTTGTTTATTCTTAAATACTATAGTTCAACCGCCTATTAAAAGCTTTTTTCATATACGACAAGGACGCAGATGGAACTATTACCGACGTAGAGTTGTTAGAAATAATGAAAACTATTGATAGTAACTTCACCATAGATCATGCCGTAGAAGCGAGAAAAAAAATTGATAAAAACGGTAAATACTTTAGAACATCATTTAAGTAGAAATTGTTATTGATTCATATTTATATTTTTCCAGATGATTGTGTGGTTGATTTTCCTGAATTTTTGAGAATGATGAAGCTTCCTTTTAGCGTTGAAGAGCTGTTTAAGGAAAAGTTTGATGAAACACACATAACCAGAGGAGAACTCAATAGTTTAGTTAAAGATACAATCGGAGATGTTCTTGATGAGGTGGCATTAAACGAGATAGATCCTAATCATGAAAACAGAATAACTTTCAACGGTATACTATTTATTATATTGTCAATCGCAAACAATTTTTTTAATCTAAGGTGTTCATTTTTAACAAACTATTTGAGGTGTTTCTATTCAAAACGTATTAATGGCAATTTTTTTACAAAAATGAGTTAGATATCGATTCTTAATGGAAATTTGTTAAGAAAACGATTGGTGGGGTTTTTTTTCCCTAAACATATTATTTCCATACGTAAAATGCATTTTAAAACTACCTTTTTTTTCTTCAAATCGTTGTATTTCCAATATTTTTTTTTGTCTAAACGTTATATTACCATTTTTTACTAACACGTGTCATTTCCTGTGTATGAAGTATAGGGAATCTCGTTATTTTTTTCAAAAGGTTGTATTTCCTATTTTTTTTTTTTGTCAAAACGTTTTATTTACGCCTTTTGCTTCAAAACTTATTATTTCCTGTACAAATTGTATAGGCGGCCTATTTGCTTTATGCAAAACGTATTATTTCCATTTACCTGAAGAAAAAAATTTAATTTAGTTTTATTTAATTTCACTGTATTAAAAAAAAAAAGAATAACTTTCGTTTGTCAGCTTCGTAATTTTAAAATAGATGATGTTTTGCTTTATTTGAAAAACAAGATTGTTTGTTAACAACATCTGCTTGTACAGTTTTACCTAAACGACAATTGGACCACTACATATATGATGATAATAATGTAGGTACTTTACAATACTTTTTACTGCGAAACCTCTTGATAAAAAACTCAGATGGCGGTTCAAAATGCTACGAATATATTGTGAAATTTCAAATGTAGTGGTATAGTTTATTCATTTTTATTATATTAGATTTTATATATTTTACTTTTTATTAATATAAAACATAAATAAAGCCAATTAGCTAGCAACAGAAATCCACGTTTTCTGAAAAAAGTGTATTTTGGTAATAACACGTTCTGCATAGAAACACCTCATTTAATGAAATATAATTCGTAAATAAAAAAAAATATCAATCTAAATAAATAAATTTATTAAAAGTTTTTATTTTTAATTTTTAAATATAAGAGTCATACTTATAGAGTAATTGATAAAACTTAGTTCACAAACTTAATATCACACAGAATAGTGTACTGACAGTTCTCCATACTAATTATTGTGTGGAGTTTTGACAATAATACTATAAGTTATAACATATAATTATTTTTGTTTATTGCAAGAAAAAATATTTAAAAAAAAGTTTATTTTTTTCAGATATTGAACGTTTTTACATTCAAAAAACTAACGAAGAAGACTCTTCAGAAGAATATTAATTAAATTTACTAAAAATTTCATTCATACACTTCTATAGGAATAAACAGTTGTCAATAATCAATAAACTATATAAATTATTTGTAGAACAGTTCAAGATTTAATAAATACTATACATGTAATAAAACGTTTTTTTGTATTATTTTTTCGTCGTATATAATGCATAAAATAAAGTGCTTTATTTTGTCAAAACTTTCTTAACTCAAAAATCTTATATAAACCCGATATTGATTAATATATTATGAATCAAGTTACCTGAAAAAACTAAGGTTTAAAGTTATTTTTTAAACTATAATATCAAAATTAATTTATAAATGCGTCCTTTCAACCGAACCAGTCAACTGAAATTAATAGACATTTTTAAATAAAGAAAGAAACATATTAGGGAAAATAATTATAAGTAGACAAATCATTGGAATGGACTAGATAATAAATTACAAATTTTCTTATTTAGTATTTATTATTTATGTTAGTATGTTATGAAACAATAAAAGACGTAGGTATAAAATATTTAATAACAAAATGTGTTATTTGAAATTTGTTAATAGAAAAAACAGAAGATTAAAACACAACGATTCACAAATATATACAATTTAGAAATTAGTAAGCATATTTTTTTTCAGAATGTCACCCGCACCTTGGATATTATTTTAGCTCTGTCGGACCATCAAATACAATTAAATGTTAAATGATTGTGACCAAATAATCGTTTATTTAAAATTAGTTTAAACGTAAATATTAAAGTAAAAATTAAGTTAGGCTTCTTTATAAAGATCACGTGTAGGACGTTAACATGTTTTATGAAATCATGTAAAACATTCTCAATAAGCTCTAATAATTATCAAAACACATTTATTTTTTCTATTCTGTAACATCTGAATGTTGCACTATATTTTTTTTTATTTGAGATTATTGAATTTTTTAAATTATAAATGCCTAATAATATTGTCTTATATCAATCTCGATTAGATCTAGTTAACTAAATGTCTTCTAATTAAAATTATCCATCTAATTTGGGTGAAAACTTGTTTCCCTAAATGCTAAAAGAACCCTTTTAAAACTCATAGTATTAAATTTATATTTTTCTTAATATTTAAGTCATTGGAATCAGATCAACTAATAAAAAAATACTACAATTTAATTCAAAACTTCGTTTCTATCTCTAACACCTAAAATATGAAAAATAAATGTATATTATATAATTATATAAATAAAATTTATAAAACTATTATTATAATGCTTTTGAAAATATTTGCTCTTAATTTTATTTCTAAAATATATTTTATTCACAATATTATAACCAATTAGTATTATATTTTAAATATTTTTTTTTTTTTGTGTATCTGTTATTGCTGATAGAATAACGAAAAACATTGCTGTTAAAAACAAAAAGATGCTTTTGAAATTCATATTATATAAATATCTCTTACAGATTTTTCAAATGAAAATACTAAATTAAATTTTTGTCAATAAAGTTAATCGCTAAGGAAGTTGTATGGTTGAGGTAAGGCTACAATATTACAACTTTAAAATTGGGTATGCAGATAATTTTTCAGTAACCGTTTTTTTTTTTAAATAAATATGGTTCCAATTCTGGATGTTAACATTTCTAAATTTTATGTTTAAAATGATTTATATTTTTAAAAAGTGCCTGTTACATTTTTTTAATCGATTTAGCGAATGTTTTTGTTATAAAGTTTTCATTATAAATTAAGGTACCATTTGTTGACCAAGGTAAAAATATTACCTACACTAAAAATACTGTCTACAATATTTTCAAATGTTATTTATTTTTAAACAATTTTCACTCAATAAACTTACAAGTACATGTAATAAAATCATAAATTATATATAATATTTGAATATATAAACGTATACAATATCAATAACAGTTAATTATATTAATAACACTCAAAAAATCTTCCTTGTAACTGTCGAATAAATAGTATAACGTGGATTAAAATAAATTTAGTTATCTATCAAATGAGGTTCTTGGTCTAATTTGACATTAGGTCTGCTTCCCACAAGTATTTTATACCCTAAAATAAAAGCGAGAAATAAGTATAGTAATAATAATATCATACGCTTTAAGTGAATCGTTGGTGTAAAAATATAAAAGTGATCGGTTGTTAGTTCAGGGTAAAGTGTGCGATGTGGGACGGACTAAGAAGAATGGCGACTGATAAAAGTGTAAAGAGAAAAAAATCAAAGTGGTTTGACAAAAACATGAATGGGACTAAGTGAACAAAGAGAAAAGTTATTTCAACTAAATAAAATCTACATAATTAAAAAATCATTTTCGAAAGGAAATATCCAAAAACCCAATTTTTTTGAGAAATAAAATTCATATAATAATATGTTTACCAATAAACTAATGACGACATGGTAAATTATTATCACATTTTCTGATACCATTAATTATTGTCTCACAAGGTGGGCACTTATATTCTTGGTATTTTTAATGGATATCGGTTCATGTTAAAATGTGTAGTCAGTAATAACCTTCTGCAGATGACCTGAAACTCTATTCCACTCTTATCGATCAAATATGCTTAAAAACAATAAAAACATTAGGATTTCTAATTAGACCTACTTCATCCGTTAAAGATGTAATGTTGTTTAAACATTTTTTTCTGTTCTCTAGTTCACCCAGTATTAGAATATAGATTAATAGTGTGTTGCCCATTTTTCTATTGAAAATTATAAATTTATTTGTTAAATAAAAAATTGAAAGAGCGCAAAAAAGATTTTAAATGATATTTAATCTAACCTTACCTATCCAAAATATCTCAATCTAAATTCGTTATCTACCCGTCGAAAAAATGCAGACATTTCCTTCCTTTCAAAATGATTAAATGGCAAAAAAACATGTCCCTTTTTTCCATATAAAAACCCACCGAACAAATTATGGTCAAATTAACCCCCTTGAGAGGATTCTGAGGTTGGGACTCATTTTTGCAAAATAATAATATAATAATAATATTTAAAGTGAATTTACCATGTTTGTTTTCTCTTATAATGTTGCATTCTGGTTCGTACAAAAACATGTTTTCGTGAGAAAAAAATGGATTCTCACTAACTACTTTGTGGTAGTGTTTTTTGTGTTCTTCCAAGGCCTTCACGTACTCGCCCACCTTATCGGCTTCCTTATTTAACATGTTAATCGCTTCTATGCAATTTTCTTCGGTGTTGACGCTGATGAATTCCTCTACTTTCGATACTCTCAGTTTGTTGAGTACCATAGGATTGGAACAACGCCTGTAAATTTGACCGATCCATTTCGGTACGACCGACTGTATGTTTTCTTTATCTGTGCACTTGACCAAATTGTCCAGCTCCAGTGCGGTTTTTCTGAAATAATCCAAAACGCTTTCCGGAAAAATGGCTAATCGTATGAAAGCGACGAACGTGTTCAGTACGGAATCGCCCAAATCGTTGATTCTCTCTTCGAACAACTCGGCCCTAGCGGCGACGTCTTTGAATTTTTCGCTGCCCGTGTAAAACATATGTTCCACCAAAGTCGCATACCAACCGACCACCGACAACACGGGATGTGCTGTTGCTGCCAGCACTTGCTGTTGGAATGATTGAACACATTTGACGTCGTAACACCTCTGTACCATCGAAAACAATATCTCCATGTCGGGATACGTGCCGTCTTCCAATTTCGTTGCCAGCGTGACTTGCCGGAGAAGTTGCAAATCGTCGGGTTCGTTTACTATTAGCAAGTCCTCTGGGTCGCTACCGGCACGAAACAACAGACCGTAGAAAAGCATCGCTTTCGGATGATACCGGTCGAACGTGTTTCGGTTAAAAATCGGCCTTAACAAATACTTCATCTCCAATGTGCCATCGTTAAATGCATCCATGTAGGATATGAATTGTTCAGCTAAACTGGAATAACTGTAAAAAATACGGTTGTCCGGTAACAACGTGTTGAGATGATTGTAACCTTGACTTTGAGTTCTTGGGTCACGCAATATCATACGTTCATTGAACTTCTCGTTATCGGACCACAACGGACAATTCTCATTGATGCCGGTTATTAAATATTTGACTATTTTATCACAGGATTTTTTCAATTCTTTTATATAGGCAATCGCCTTATTGTCGGGGTGGTTCGACAGCACATTCTTTCCGTCGAAGGTTCGTACCAGTAACGAGTCAAAAACGTTGTTCAAGTATAAACTTACTGCCATCAAGTCCACGGCCTGGACGGGTGATTGATCGTTTTGAGTCATCAGATCGTCGAGAATCACCATAATGTTCTGGCTTTGACTTCGTAACGAACCGTCATAGGTTTCAAGTTTTTTTAAAGTCGACGAATCTTGTTTGCAATTTTTGAAATGCAGTTCAAAATATATTTCGTGTAGTTTGAAAAAGAGTAGCATGTACCTGGAATAATAGCAATGCTTCGTGTTTTCCGTTCTAACAAATGAAAAATTGAGGAAAACAAATAGTAATACCAGAGTTTTGTACAATATCATGGTGAAATATTATTTTCAGGTACTGAGAAATACACGTTATAACTTACAATACCTACGACCGTGTAAAGTGTAGCTACACTGTTCGCAAAGCGGCGGTACTTACTTATTTTATGACAATAACGATAACCAGAAGACAAAAACATAAATATTGGTTTATAAGTATAATTTTTTTGCTTCGGTACACTCATGTCAATTAAAAGTTTTGTTTTGCATGCGAATTTTCAGATGCCATCGAAACTAGGTCATTTAGACGACTTACAATAACAGATAATACTATATGAATTTTTATATTCACTGTTTTAAACAATACAACTGTCATAGTAGTAAGATATCTAGAAAAACTAAATCCTGAAAGGCTTGTTTGCAGATTTTACTCTTATAATATCTGTAAGACCTGTGAAAAAGGGTGTAAGTCGATTTTAGTGGTTTTATAGAGGAGCGATCTTAAACTGACCAGCTGCCATAAATCAGCATCAGTAATAATCAGGAACTCACATCTCTCTCAAGGTTTTCTTGTTGGTCCAACGAGTTAGACATTTATACAAGGTGTGCTAGGCGCTTAGGACTACATCCTAGC